AATGTCTATCGTCATCGCCATCCAATAAGATGTCCATTCCGCTTCCCAACAGGGCTTGATGTTCGATATTTGCGCATGCGGGCTTACAAGAATTGCCTCGCCCTCCATGCGACCGTCGCTTGGACTCCACCATGAGCAGACCCCTTTGGTTTGGGTTGGTTCGTACCCCCAACTTCGACTATGTATCCTCGTCAACGTCGGGATCTCTTCGCTCGTCGAATGCGTTTCCTGGAGGAAAACGACCGAGTGCTGTCCAGCAACGGAAGTTTGTCTAAGATTGTCGAAGCGCTCCCCGATGAGTTTCATCGTGTTCTGCATACCTTGGACATTCGGAGTGTGGTTCGGCGTATCCCTCGTCTCGACTTCCGTGCTCCCTTGCGAAGGTATCTGCTTGCCTTGGCTTGCGCCTGAAAATCTTGAACTAGCTGATCTTATCTGCCTTCATCATCCATCAGGTAATAGTAGTGGCTCGACCGGAACTTGTATCTCCTGAGGCCCTGAGCTATGGTCGCCCACACCCCCGGCCTCATGCTCCCGTGGGGAGCCTGTAGCATCTTGTGTGGCCTTCACTAGAATCTTTTGATTCCAGCGATGGCCAGGTCGGGCCGATGTCCATCTGTTGAATCAGCTTGATTCCAACCTTGATGGCAGGCCTCCAATCTTTCTTATCCAAAATAGCTCGAATAGCCGCGCGTACTTGATCGTTCTTTTCGAAAGCCGATGCGATATCTTCCAGACAAACATCCTTCCCTCGTCTTAATGGCGTCGGGTCCACTCCGCAAATCGGTCTCCAAAAGAAGATTATGTACGAAAGGAAACTGGTTAAAGCCCATTCCGACTTATCCAAACCGAGATGTGCATGTCCTGAAAGAGCTGTAGGAACTCTTGCTTTCAGTCGCTTCCGCCTGTCCGAGTTGGTTACTAGACTCCATTTCGTTCCATTTTGTTGGTCAGCGCTATCAATGAAGTTTAACCACTCTTTGATGAATTGCTTGTCCAGATGCGTTTCGAGGCGGTGAAGGTAATCGACCTGGGCTCTGACCGCTTGATGTATACCCCAATTGGTCAAACACTCATTACCGATAACTTAGGCAGCAAGCTCAGAATTAGGTAAGGAGTAGAAGAGTTGCTTAAGAAGGCCAAAACTGCGTCATTGGAAACGCTCAATGTCTCCACATCCCGGAACTTTGAGACTTCCATCTTCAGACCGTTGATACGGCCGCTCGCCGTCCATTTCTTCAGTTTCGTGAGATCGCTCTTTCTCCGCTCCTGATCTTCGTTGGGCCAAGTTTTTCTTGGGCCTTGAAGCCCAAGGAATCGAAGGTATGCTTCGCGATCTTTTCTTCTCACCACTCGATCTTCCACGGTCTTTCCATCCTGAGATGTTGACATTAGTTGTTGTGCAGCTTCGTGC